TGTAGATTAGACTGGTCTCAAACTCACAGAGATCCACCTGCCTCTGCCTCCCAATTGCTAGAATTAAAGATGCATACCACTACACCCAGCTCAAAATGATAAAACAATTTTTCAGGTAGCATAGACAAATGTACTTTGCTCATACCAACCTTGCAAAAATGTGCTGACTAGAGAAGAAGCCTACAACATAAATGTGCCAGCTTATGAAAACAATCCTACAAAAGATCCTACAAAATCTGTCAACTAGGGAGCCAAAGCCCACACAATGTTTGTTTGTTAATAAAAGACATTCAATGGAACCACGGGGAGAGTTGTTATCCCTTACAACCCTTGCCAAAGACCTCAAGGAAGCAAGTCTCACGAAGGGGAGGGGGGAGAAGGTTGGCTAAAGACCACAGGCACATAAGCCACCTGCCTTTTGGAAAGAAAGAAGCACAATTTAAACTCAGGTACTCAGGACCTGAGGATGTGGCTGAGTTGGGGAGCAAGTTCCCTGGGTGTGCTCCCCAGCACTGTAGAAACTGGGAGTGGCAGCTCAAAAGGCAAGGGAAGACAGAGGGATCAAAGTCATCCTTGACTGCACAGTGAGTTCGAGGCCAGCCTAGGCCATCTTAGTCCTGTGTCAAAAAAAACTAACAAATAAACTAAAGCAATCAAGTTTAATAAATCATTGAGTAAAAACAGCCCAGAAGCTTGTAAGTAGATTTTTTAAATTGTGGTACAAGCACACAATGGACTAATATATATATATATATATATATATATATAGCCATTACAAGAAAGGAAATACTGATACATGCTACTGCATGGACGAAACTTGACAACAGTGTGTTTAGTGATGGAAATCAGACATAAAAGACCTTATTGCATGTGGTTCCACTTACACTAAAATGCCAGAATAGGTAATTTTTTAAAAAAGTGGCTCAAAGATTGCCAGAGGCTGAGGAAGCAGAGGTGCTAACAGCTGGAGTACAGAAATTTCTATTGGAGGTAATGAAAATGACCTAAAATTGACACTAATGATAGTAGCACATCTTTGTGGATACTCTAGTGATGGCTGGACAGCTCCATGAGAACAATGAAAACCAACGAACTGTATACAACAGATGAATTATATGCTCCATATGGGTCTTATGTCTCTATAAAAAATTATCTTTGGTGCTATGCTTAAGCTTCATAAAATTCAGAGTCATGGACATGTCTCAGAAGGTAAAGATTCTAGACAGGCAGTGGTGGCATACACTTTCGATCCCAGCACTTGGGAGGCAGAGGCAGATGGACCTCTGTGAGTTCAAAGTGGACCTCTGTGAGTTCAAGGCCAGCCTGGACTACAAATTGAGTTCCAGGACAGCCAGGACTGTTAAATAGAGAAACCCTGTCTCGAAAAAAAAATCTTAGAATATATTGAGCACAATGTTTTGTTTTGTTTTGATTTTTTATAAAAGTTTAATGAAATATCACCAAATCTTTTACAACACATAATTTTGATCATCTTTTTCACTAACTATTTTGGTTTTTGTCACTTAGACAATTACAAAAACAAAGTTCAAAGACTTTGAAAACAACTGAAAGGCAAAGAAGCACTAAGAGCCATGAAGAGAAAGCTCTTGGCATCTGTAAAGGAACATGCAGGGCCATGGCCTCTTGCAGAAAGGAGGGAAGGCTGGCCACTTGTCTACTTACTTTTTCATTTCAAGCTTGCCAAGAAGCACTATGTTCTTCCCAAGCTTTACACCATCCTTAAACGAAAGAAAGAGTATTTTTCTTTTCTTCTTCTTCTTTTTTTTTTTTTTTTTTTGGTTTTTCAAGACATGGTTTCTCTGTGTAGCTTTGGAGCCTGTCCTAAAACTCACTCTATAGACCAGTCTGGCCTCAAACTCAGAGATCCGCCTGCCTCTGCCTCCGGAGCCCTGGGATTAAAGGCGTGCACCACCACCACCCGGCTCACAGAAAAGAGTATTTTCAATCTTACTCTTCCTTGAGTTAGGAAGGTGTTCTGTTTTATTTGGGGGCGGGGGGCTGAGATAGGGTCTCGGGTTCTGAATATGACTTTAATCCTCCAGCCTCTACCTTCTGCGTGCTGAGATCACAGGCAGGCGCCATCATACCACCCAGCTCTTGCTTTTTATGATGTTGGGCTGGAACACAGGGTCACGCACACGTGGGGCTAGGGCTCTGCCACTGAACCACATCCTCTGCCCCAGAAGGTATTCTTGTAACTTCCCGGCAATGGCTCTGGATACCAGAGTTCCCCAGGCCCTGCCGCACCTTGTCCTCCCCATTCATCCTTTTCTCACTTGTTCTGAGGCCCTGGGAAGACAGGCTTGCTTCCTGTCCAGTCCTGTTATAGCTGCAGAATCCAGCACGGTGCCTATGTGCAGGACAGGCCCTCAAGATACATTCAGTAAATTAAATTATGGGCTCCGGGGTTTTGTTAACATGAAGTTACTCTCACATAACATGATAATCTATGAAACAAGGTCCACAGAAATAATAATTAACCCTGTGAGGATCAGGAAAATGAGCAAATATCAGATAGCAAGCCAAGTTGTTCTCTCTCCCCATGCAGAGACTATTTTACTGGAGGGACAGAAACCTTTTGTTTGTTTATTGGTTTTTTGAGACAGGGTTTCTCTGTGTAACAGCCCTGGCTGTCCTGGAACTCATTCTGTAGATCAGGCTGGCCTTGAACTCAGAGACCTGCCTGTCTCTGCCAGGCTATTTATTTATTTATTTTTTAATTCTTCTAGATTGCTTCTCTCTCTCTCTCTCTCTCTCTCTCTCT